CTGCACTCCAGTCTGGGCGACAGAGTGAGACTTCAACTCAAAAAAAAAAAAGAAAACTACGATGCCGTTTTGGCTTGGCGGTTGTTGGCCTGGACAGCCATGCACGGAGACATACGGAGTTCTTGGCCATCCAGCAGGAAAGGGACAAACAGACCTTGGAGTCTGTGATGAGGTAAAGAGATTTCTGCCATGGCGAGAAGGGAACTCTGGACTGTGTGCTGGATCATCAGGCGGGTTTCAGTGGGGAGAAGGGTTGCTTATCCCACATGCCGGGTCCTGCAACTCTTCTATTCAGAAACTGTCTGACCTCGTGACAGGGGCCATGATACTGAGATTGGGACACAGAACCGTGTCAGCTCTGATTAAGAGTGCTGGGAGGAACTGAAAATTAAATATGAAGGCTGTGGCTATAGTTAGAGTTTAGGAAGCAACCAATTTAAAATAGCATGCACATAGGGTGGAGGTAGGTGGGCGAATTTATTCAGATTGTAATAACTAGGAGAAGTAGAAAGAAAGAACTGTGTTTAAAAAAATGCTTTGAAGTTCTTGAGAGATGTGATTAAAGACAGTCTTCTAAAGGAAGTGGTGGGAGTACCTTCCAGCACACCATGAAAGACAAAGGCGAAGCTGGAGAGTCTTCTATCCCTAATCTCCAAGGTGGATGTTCAAAGTTCTTTCCAGATTTGATTCTTAGTGACCTTAGTGGGACCCAGCAGCCTCACTGAACATTTTCAATAGTGTCTTCTGAATTGTTAACTGACACTGAATGGTACTATGAGTTCATGGATTTCAAGATTGTGCAAGGAAAATACAATGTGAAAATTCACCCCCAAATGTGAATGTGCCCCTAGTTCTTTGAAACAGTCTCTAAGGAAGAAAGAATACAGCAGCAGATTTCTGCTTTCATTTTTGATTTAGTCAGCATATTTCCAAGCATGCTGCAGAAGCACTTCTTCAAATTGCAGCTCCTAAGATCACATACACAGAGATAAGTGTGAAAGGCTCTCTCAAATCATAGGCAGAGTTTTACGTATAATCACATTTTAAAGAGTTATAACACTGCCTCCTTACATATGCCATTGCCTGCTAAGCAGAAAAATGAAGCAGAGTAAGAATTCCCCTTGCAGACTATTCACTGAAACACTGGAGACAAGAGTTGCAAAACAATACCAAATCACAATGATAAAAAAATCACTTGCATATGGATGCTATAAAAAAGTAGTTAAAAAGCAATTTACTTTGATTTTTTTCATTATTTCCTGCTACAGCTGAAGACATGAATATTTGCAGAAGTGTTTTTATTCTCATCATTTAGATCCCCTTCTGTTTGATACTGACACACACACAAAACCTCATTGTTTATATCCATCTGTTGTCAGTTACTCGAAAGTCACAGAATTCTTATGGTCACAGAGTTAACCATGGAGAGGGAATAAGGGGAGTCATGAAAAGTTGAAGACAATTCTGTTAAATGTCTTTGTAATTAAACTACTGGCTTGAGAAAAAGTGCCAACTAAATTTAATGACAATATTAAAATTTCTTGTGTGTGGAAAAAATATAGCAAGTTGGAACTCTGTCAAGGCAAGTAAAAACTTTTCTCAGTTTATTGAAATTTAATTCATGATACTTATCTATAAGATATAAAAATTTTGATGGAGAAAAACATTACCCACATGGTGATAAGGTACCAGGCGGCAATGTGAAGCCAGGGCTAAGACCCATGCTTTTTAAAAGGGGGTCCCCAAATCGTTTGCAGCTGATCCATGATGAGTGGCAGCCTCCATCAAAGTGTGCGTTCCTCCTGGCTTTACCTGGCTCTCTGCTCTGTTGGGCCCGTGGTTTCTGTTGCTTTGCTCAGGGTAAAGTCTAAACTTTGAATCTGGCCCTTTGCAACCTGTCCGATTTCTCCTTTGCTCTATTACATCACATAACCTTTCACTCCAGTCAAATCTCCCTGCAGTTTTGGCCTCTCAGTCTCTGTGTCTTTCCTGCCCTTTGACACTTGAGATGAAATCCGGTTGGCTTTAAGAATCCAGTTCCAACGGCCGTGACACGGCATCTCTTTCTCCTGGTACTTATTGTTTCATGATTTGATTAGTACTGTATGCTGCCTTATATTGTGATTTAATCCTTATGCTGAGGCATAAAAATAACATAGAGCACGTAAAGAGCCTTAATCTAAAGAGTTCATCTTGATGATTTTTTACTTTTATATACACCTTTGCCCATTTTTCTCTTTCTGGGTATGTCCAAGCTATCTAACTGTAGTGAATATTATTTAAGGGCAGAAGTATGTTTTTATCTCTAGAAGGAAGCCTCATATAGCCAGCATCTGATAAACATATTTTGGTCTAAATCCTTCCCTGTATGGTCATTTTGAATAAACACTGCTGACTTGTCTGTCTTGACACTATTTAGGGGGAAAAGAGGATGTACTAATCCTGAGAAGTAGAGGCAAACGTTTCATTTTGGAAAATGCTGTAAGGAAAATGACACAGCGCTTCTGGGGGTCCATTTCTAAGGCTCTGGCCGGGTGCTCACGGTGCCGGCTTTATTTTGCTGCCTGTCATCATCAGAGCACTCTAGGCACTATCACAAGAAAGGGCACACAGGTGAGGCATGCATTCACTCTGGGAACAGGGCCAGGAACCCACTGCACAAGGTACCACACCAGGCCCAGGAATCCAGACCCAGACAGACAAGACACTGTCTAGCCCTGCTCCCTGTGGAATTTACAATCTCATGGTAGAAAACCAAACTGAGTACAAACAGGCATTTCACAAATTCCAGTCAGTAGATTAAAAAAAAAAAAAAAATTACAGGGGCCTGTGCCTCAGTTTGTTTGAAGTTCACTGGCATGTGACTTTTTGCTAATATTACCGAAGGTCTTGAGCTTTGGATTTTGGTTACAGAATCACCCCCCAAGAGGGTGTTTTGTGTATTGCAGAGGAAGTCCCACACTTCTGCTTTACAGGGTCTGGCTAACTTTGATACTATGTTTCGTTAATAAAGTTATCAGATGGGTGCTCATTCTAGGTGGCTTTTTCCAAGTCAAAGATATCAGAGCAGGCACAGTGTTCAAGTTCAGATCTCATGGTACTTAAAATGCACATACATTTTCTTCAGGAAGAAACAGCTTTAGTAAGGAAATCTCCCAATAGCACACAATATCCCCTGGCTCTTGAACTTACACAATTAAAAGCCAGGTGCGGTGGCTCAAGCCTGTAATCTTAGCACTTTGGGAGGCTGAGGCGAGAGGATTGCCTGAGCTCAGGGGTTTGATACCAGCCTGGGCAACTTGGTGAGACCTCGCCTCTACAATATATTAAGAAATTAGCTGGGTGTAGTAGCATGTGCCTGTAGTTCCAGCTACTTGGAAGGCTGAGGTGGAAGGATTGTCTGAGCCCAGCGGGTGGACGCAGACTCAAAAACAAACAAATAAAAATAAAAAGTGGAGGAGAGAAAAGTCAAGTTTTTGTGTATCAGTCCACTGTATTCTTTTCTTTCAACTCTAAATCCATGTAGGAAATTATGCATTTGAAGAAAGAAAATTGAAAGGAAGAAATGAGTTAAAAGTAGTACTTGTAGGTACATGGAAAAAGTTAACTATTTCTCTGTTATGTTTGAGTTGGATTCATTCATAAATTCTGTTTTTGGTCTAGAGAAGTTTCAATATAAAGAAGAATCTTGTTGCCACCAAGTAACACCTATAGTCAAGAAGTAATAGGCAGGGCTTCTAGAAATATGCACAAAAAAGCCATGTTTGCCCAACAGAAATTAAGGAGGTGAGAAGAGGGCAAGTCTGGAAAAATACTATGCTTTCTGAACTAAATCTACCTCTGAATTCTTTCTTAAACATCTTTTTAAATAGGATGCACACTCATATGCAACGACGTGCAGTTTAAAATAATTTATTTGTCAAATTTCTGTGACTTACATTTCAGCATTTCATCAACTGCAAAAGCGAGGAAATAATTCATGGGCTTTGTAGTGTTTTTGAAAATAATATTTATGACTCATAAAAATGTACATTCATATAGTATGAAATGAACATATCTTAAGAAAGTTCAAGCATATACAAGCATTGTTTAATCTCACAAAATATATTAATTTTGTTGGGAATATTTGCACTTTATAAAAGGGTCTTCAATTTACCAAAGGATTCAATACTAAGCTATTTTTAAAGTTTGAATTACTTTTTCCAGTCTAAAGAGGGGTCAAAACTCATGCTGTACTCACACACCACGCTCTGCACAAACATGTGGATAAGTCATGGCTTCCTAGAAGGCATTCTAGAGAGAAGATGCTGGGCAGACAAACAACAGGTGTTCCTTAAAGCAGACTTCTGAATAACACCCAGTCAGATACAAAGAACTTAAATATGAGGGCCAAGGCCGGGCTCGGTGGCTCATCCTGTAATCTCAGCACTTTGGGAGCCCGCGGGTTCGAGACCCGCTTGGGAAACTTGGCGAGACCTCATCTCTACAATAAATAAAAAAAAATTAGCTGGGCGTGGTAGCGTGTGCCTGTAGTTCCAGCTACTTGGAAGGGTGAGGCGGAAGGATCTCCAGAGCCCAGCAGGTTGAGGCTGCGATGCCGGGAGCGGCCACTGCACTCCAGTCTGAGCAACAGAGTGAGACTCCAACTCAAAAAAAAAAAAAAAAATGAAGGCCAGTCCTCATCTGCATATACCTGTTTTTTCCCCTCCCCCAAACACTCATTCACACTTGAAAACATGTTATAACAGCAAATACTTGGTTATGCATTTTTCAAAGGTTTTAGAAGAGTCCCAAAAATTATTTTCTGAAAACACCGGAATTCTCTTTTGGAGAAATCTTCCAGTGAAGAAGTAATTTAAAAAAGCTTTATTTAACTTAGGTAAATACACTTGCCAAGGCAAAAGCCAAGTTACTGTTCTTTATGTTTTGAGGCTATGAGGAAGAGGTGGCTACATGCTTTACTCTTCAGCCAGAGAATTCATACAGCTATTCCTGGGAAGATGGTTGGTGGGCTTCAGCCTCAGAGTCTACCTCTTTCCTTCTTCCCAGACTTTCAGCTGGCTGAATGTGTATCTCTGAATGTGTATCTATTTGCATGGCTAAGTAAAACATTCCAACTTATATTTTCAAGGTTTCTAAATAGTTTTTGCTTTCAAATTAATAAAAGCAAATAATTAGAACTTAAAAGATAGTTCTAATTTTATTTCTATTTTTGGTTTTTAAAATTAAAACAAAACCTACAAACATACAGTCCCAGGGTTTTCCCGAACCAATCAACAGTTCTTTGGCAATGTTAGAGTGAGCAACGTGACTGACATGCTAAATAATGTACTTTATAGGAAGTAAAATTAAAATGTTGAAATAGAAAACAACTAGAAATGTCAGAAAGCTCATTTGAAAGACACTGTCAAATGTTATACTTTCTAAGTCTTTTTAAAATCTCGATTTAGTGAGTAGAAAATATAAATGAAGTTCGGTGGCATTTTTCCAGTTACTCAAAGACAATCAACACATGAAAAATTTATAGAATGTAAGCAGTGAGAAAAGTGTTATGCAACAATGTTCTAAGGTAATTTTAATATGAATTATGAGACCAGATTTAGTGTAAGTTATGAGAACAGTAAACTGCAGTCTCACTTTGACAGCAAAAAACAAAAGATATACAGAAATAGCACTGTCCATTGAATAAGATGGATGAGGTGTTTACAGCCTTGTAACTAAACTAAGTAACAATTTCTCTCTTTTAACTTTTATACACCATCTGTCTTTCTAGATACTGTCAATCACACCAAACTAAAAGGAAAAACACAAACCACTTTCGATTTGATAACTGTGGGAAGAAAACTGAATACACAGAAACCAAAGTTTTGACCAGATTTTCGAGAAACATTAACGTACACCAAATTAACTAATTTTGTTAAAAGGCAGCTATAAAAATACACATCATCACAAGCTATACAGAACTTTAACACCCAGTAAGAGTAGAGAAAGACTGGAACTTCCCAACGTATCTGAAGAAAGCGTCGTACACCCAAAGGTTTACAAAGGGCATTTCTGCATTCTGGCATGTCCGGAGTTTCTAGGCGAGAGTATCTCCCTGACACACAGAGAGCATTTCGAAAGGCGGCGGCGGCCGGGAAACCCCAGGGTGGGGTTCTGCCGTCACACTTGATCCCGCAGGCGGGCCAGTCTCTGGGACAGCTCATCCTGCTCGGCCGAGGCCACGCTGGTGCCCACGGAGCCGGTCTGCCCCTGCGGCAGCTCCATGTTGAGGTCGAGGCCAGCCTCGTCTGCCATTTCCTGGAGCAGCATATCCACTTGGTTCTGGGGAGTGGTCAGCGTCGTCGTGCTGCTCATCGTGTCTTCCATCTGCTGGGTCTGGACGTCCAGCGTCTCAAACTGGTGCTCGAACTTGTCCATCAAAGCAGAAATCTTCTCCAGGTTCATGGTCTTCAACGTCGCGTCCATCGACTTGACCACGCCAGCCATCGACTTGGTCACCTTGCCCATCGTCACCGCCGTCTGGACTCGGGCGGCCACCGCGTCGACCCGCGCGCTCATCCTCAGGAAATTCACCGCCTGGTTCTTCTGGCGGATGGCGTTTTCGGCGTGTATCCTCGCCACTTCCATGTTGCCCTTCTGAATGGCCTTTTTAATCTTGGCCTTTTCGGCCTTTTCCTCCTTATCGCATTTTTTGGCACTCCGGCTCAGCTCTTTGGCCGCGAACTTCAGGTTGAACAGGTGTTTCTCCATGTTGGACATAGTCAGACGCCTCCTCGGGGTCGGCACCCAGGGCCGAGGCGCGCGCGGATGGGAGGCGCAGGAAGCTAGATCCGCTCCCGGCCGCAGCTCCTTTGTTTTGGTCCCACTTCCTGTTTCTACG